AGCAACCATTGTGGGATCACACAGGATCTGTCAGATGTTGAGCAAGGCTTCTTGGTGACCCTTGGCTTGGGTCTCAAAGAATGCACAGGAATTTCCCTCCTGGACCAGAGGGGAGAGAACATCCTGTACAAGCATCTGGAGAAACAGACCTCCATGCTAAGAGGAGAATATGAGCGTCTGGGGTGGAGGATGGTGGTGGAAATACCTCCTGTGGAGATTCCTTCTACTTCTCTTCCTATTTCCTCTTGGTGAAACTAAAGAATCCAAGCCCCCAAAGGGACCTCTGTTGAAACTTTGACATTCTATTTCCCCTCTCCTTGAGCTGTCCATAGCATCTGAGGCTCATCAGGCCAACCTTCATCACCTCATAGGTCCTTGCAGGTGCCTGAGGTTATGCCGGTCACATCAGAAGGCATCTCCGGATCTTCATTCCTCACATCTCTGGATATCTGAGTTTCAGCTTCACCCTTGGTTGACTGGGGTCCATGTCTTTTCTTCCCAAGAACAGCCCCAGGGCTGCTGAGGGGATGAGAGACGAACCTGCAGGTAAGAACTCCTGGAAAGCTAGAGTAAGGCACCCCTAAAAGGGATGATGTTGACTATGACTTGGTGCTTCCTCATACCTGACATTCCAGACTGTCAGCTCCATCCTCAAACGGGGTATCCAGAATCCAACCTTCTCACCAGTGCCACAGCTATCACCCTGGTCCATCCACCACCATCTCCCTCCTGAACTACTGGCAGTATTCTCAGCCCTGCAGCCACAGTGGTATTCCTAAAATGTAGGTCACGTCATGACGTTCATTAAAAGTCCTGCATGGATGCCCCATTTCACCAGAGGAAAAGCCAAAGTCTCCATAATGGTCCGCAGGCCCAACATGAACTCAGCTCTGACTCTCATCTCTGAGCTCTCCTGCTTTGACCCTCTCCCTTACTCTACCCCAGCCACTTGGGTCTCTTTCCTGTTCCCCCAGCTTATTAAATATGCTCCAGGGCCTTTGTACTCGCGGTTGCGGTACGCTCTGCCCAGAGATGTTCTCTCACCTTCTTTAAGTCTCTGTCCAATGTCACTTCAAGGAGGCCGTCTCTTACCACCCTGTCAATTCTTTACTCTCCTCACTGGACCCTGTTCTGTTTCTTCAGCTAACCATTTTTACCTTCTGATTTACTACTTTATTTTGCTTATTTATTCCCCTGCCTGGAATGTAACCAAGGCAGGTATTTTGTTAGTTTCCTGCTGTATCCCCAGCACCTGCAACAGGACCTAGCCATAGTAGGTGATGACTACATAGTTATCAGATAACTGAAAGAAGGCACAGTTTGGACGCCTGCCCTCAGCTCTGTCTGCAAGGCCAAGACAAGGAAACCCCCCTGCGGACTCTGTATCCTCCTCAGAGGGCAAGGGAGCTGACATCTGAGCTGGCAGTCCTTGCCCGGTTCAATCCAACTCGCCTGAACAGACATTGATGGAGCCCTGGGCAGGTGCTGAGCCTCCCTGAGAGGGATGAGTCTCCACCCACCTCGAGCTGGGTGCGGCGAAGGCTGCCTGGGGCAGAGGGGGCCTGCTAAGGGGCACAAGCCAAGCCAGGCCCAGAGGGATCTCCCAGAAACCTGAGATGGCACAGCAAGCTCAGGCAGGCCTCCCCGTCACACCCACCTCATACCCCAGGCCCACTAGTCCGGCCTGGCCCGTGACCGTCCCCAGGGTCACTGCCCTTTCTAGGCCCTATTCCTGAGGGTCTGCGGGGCTCCCAGTCTCTGCCTCCCTCCCTCCCTTCCTCCCGGGTCTCCCTCCTCCACGCCCCCATTCTGCCAGACCCCTACCACCACAGCCCCTGCTCTTCCTCAACTCTCTCTTCCACGCCTTCCCCCTCGAATCTGGACCCCAGCCCCAGCCCCCCTCCAGGTCCCGTTCCCGGGCCTCCTTCCCCGACCCGGCCCCCGCCGCACCTCGCCCCTCCTCGCGCCTCCGCCTCCCCCCCGCCCCGGCCCCGGCCCCG